GGTGTTGGAGAAAGGCCATCAGTGCATGTTCTGCAAACATTACAGCGGATGAAGGCACGGCATGAGCTTGGTGAACGTATAGACATGGTTATGGACAGCGAGGATGAACCATTAGAGCTCCGAAATTTAACCTGACGAGAGTGAAGATTAATTACCTGCATTGGCAGATGTGGTAAAGACCTCAGAGTCTGAGCCTCGCCATGATGGTCATGCAAAGGATAATGCTGGCCCAGTGGGAGTGACATTTGTGGAGAAAGTGGATCCCTGCTTTTTGGCTGACCCATATGTAGTCTCAGGCTGGGTAGAAAATAAGTTGGGTACTGTTAAATCGATAAATGTAGCTCGAGGTGGACTTGTGATGATTTTCTGTTTTTCTTCTGCCCAGAGGGAGCGGGCGCTTCGCGTCACATGCCTCGGGACAAGACCTGTGACTTGCTTTGCTCTCCGGAGCAGGGAGTCTTTGAATGGAGTGATTACTGGGGTGGCGTTAAGTGTTGTGGTGGAGCAACTAAAATGGAAGATTCCCTGTGTCTGTGACACCCACCGTTTGGTGCGACGCAGACCCTGTGCCGAGCATGGTGAAACAGAGAAGACACTGTCTGTCCTATTGAGTTTTGAAGCAGAGTATGAGGTGGCTGTGCTATCTAGTGGAGGAACAGCTTTAGAAGTTGATGTTGCGGACAGAAATGATTAAAGGATCGTAAATGGCATCACTTGAGAAGGCAAGAACGAGATGTACAGCGCATTCGGAAAGTATTCAGACGCCTTGACTTTTTCCACATTTTGTTACATTAAATAGTTATTTTCCCTCATCAATCTACACACAATACCCCATAATGACAAAGCAAAAACTGCTTTTTAGAAATGTTTGCAAATGTATATATATAAAAAATTGAAATATCACATTTACATAAGTATTCAGAAACTTTACTCAGTACTTTGTTGAAGCACCTTTTGCAGCGATTACAGCCTCGAGTCTTGTAGGGTATGACGCTACAAGCTTGACACACCTGTATTTGGGGTGTTTCTCCCATTCTTCTCTGTAGATCCTCTCCAGATCTGTCAGGTTGGATGTGGAGCGTCGCTGCACAGCTATTTTCAGGTCTCTCCAGAGCTGTTCGATCGGGTTTAAGTCCGGGCTCTGGCTGGGCCACTCAAGGACAATCAGAGACTTGTCCCAAAGCCACTCAAGCGTTGTCTTGGTGGTGTGCTTAGGGTCGTTGTCCTGTTGTAAGGTGAACTTTCACCCCAGTCTGAGGTCCTGAGCACTCTGGAGCAGGTTTTCATTAAGGATCTCTCTGTACTTTGCTACATTCATCTTTCCCTCCATCCTGACTATTCTCCCAGTCCCTGCTGCTGAAAAACATCCCCACAGCATGATGTTGCCACCACCATGCTTCACCGTAGGGATGGTGCCAGGTTTCCTCCAGACGTGACGCTTGGCATTCAGGCCAAAGAGTTCAATCTTGATTTCATCAGACCAGAGAATCTTGTTTCTCATGGTCTGAGAGTCTTTAGGTGCCTTTTGGCAAACTCCAAGCGGGCAGTCATGTGCCATTTACTGAGGAGTGGCTTCCATTTGGCCACTCTACCATAAAAGCCTGATTGGTGGAGTGTTACAGAGATGGTTGGCCTTCTGGAAGGTTCTCCCATCGCCACAGAGGAACTCTGGGGCTCTGTCAGAGTGACCATCGGGTTCTTGGTCACCTCCCTGACCAAGGCCCTTCTACCCGATTGCTCAGTTTGGCCGGGCGGCCAGCTCTCGGAAGAGTCTTGGTGGTTCCAAACATCATCCATTTAAGAATGATAGATGCCACTGTGTTCTTGGGGACCTTCAATGCTGCAGACATTTTTAAGTACCCCTCCCCAGATCTGTGCCTTGACAGAATCCTGTCTCGGAGCTCTACGGACAATTCTTTCAACCTCATGGCTTGTTTTTTGCTCTGACATGCACTGTCAACTGTGGGACCTTATATAGACAGGTGTGTGCCTTTCCAAATCATGCTCAATCAATTGAATGTACCACAGGTGGACTCCAATAACGTTGTAGAAGGATGATCAATGGGAACAGGATGCACCTGAGCTCAATTTCGAGTCTCATAGCAAAGGGTCTGAATACTTATGTAAATAAGGTATTTCTGTAGTTTTTTTAAAATACATTTGCTCAAATTTCTAAAAACGAAATAGAATTGAATGAGGGCGAATAATCGGAGGTGGCAGCCGTGGTGAAGTTCTCTGAGCTCGAGGCTTGCACCGATGGTCAGGATAAAGATGAGTCTGTGACGGTAGAAGTGACATTTGTTGAGAAAGTGGACCCCTGCCTTTTGGCTGATCCATTTGTGGTTTCAGGGTGGGTGAAAACAGAGTTGGGTGCTGTGGAATCGGTGAGGGTAACCAGAAGTGGTCTGGTGGTGATTGTTTGTGTTTCTGCTGGTCAGAGGGAGCAGGCGCTCTGCGTTAAACGAATGGGGGCAAGACATGTGAATTGTTTTGCTCTCAAGAAAGGGTCCCATTGAAAGGAGTGATTACTGGGGTAGCGGTAAATGTGAAAGTGGACCAACTGAAGGGGAAGATTCCCGGTGTTTGTGATGCTCTTCGTTTGGTGCGACGCAGACAGGGTGGCGTGGGTGGTAAAACAGAAGAGTCATTGTCTGTTCTTTTGAGTTTTGATGTTGAGTCTTTGCCCGAGAAATTAATGTTAGGATATTTCAGATATCTCGTACAAGCTTCTGCGCCGAATCCATTACGTTGTTACAGGTGTCATGCTTATGGGCATGTGGCAGCAGTGTGTAGGAGGGAGGTTCCTAGGTGTGAGAAGTGTGCAGAAGGGCATAGGACAAAGGAATATGTATTATTGGGGAAAGAAGTGGTATTTGTTCATTGTAGGGGTGCCAATGTGACTGGGGATCAGAAGTGTTTCCGGTGCTAGAGAGGCAGGTTGAGGTTACCAGGGTTAGAGTAGTGCAGAGGCTGTCCTATGCTGAGGCAGTGAACAAAGGAGAGGTAGCTGGGTCAAGGGGAAGGGATCATGATAGGATTTGTGTGAGTAGTGGAGAGGGATAGCCCAACGAGTGATATAGAGCGCCTTGCAAAAGTATTCGTCCCCCTTGGCATTTTTCCTATTTTGTTGCAATACAATCTGTAATTTAAATTGATTTTTATTTGGATTTCATGTAATGGACATACACAAAATAGTCCAAATTGGTGAAGTGAAATGAAAAAAATTACTTGTTTCAAAAAATTAATAAAAAATAAATAACAGAAAGGTGGTGCGTGCATGTGTATTCACCCCCTTTGCTATGAAGCCCCGAAATAGGATCTGGTGCAACCAATTACCTTCAGAAGTCACATAATTAGTTATAAATAAAGTCCACCTGTGTGCAATCTAAGTGTCACATGATCTGTCACATGATCTCAGTATATATACACCTGTTCTGAAAGGCCCCAGAGTCTGCAACACCACTAAGCAAGCGGCACCACCAAGCAAGCGGCACCATGAAGACCAAGGAGCTCTCCAAACAGGTCAGGGACAAAGTTGTGGCGAAGTACAGATCAGGGTTGGGTTATAAAAAAATATCCTAAACTTTGAACATCCCATGGAGCACCATTAAATCCATTATTAAAAAATTGAAAGAATATGGCACCACAACAAACCTGCCAAGAGAGGGCCACCCATTAAAACTCACGGACCAGGCAAGGAGGGCATTAATCAGAGAGGCAACAAAGAGACCAAAGATAACCCTGAAGGAGCTGCAAAGCTCCACAGTGGAGACTGGAGTATCTGTCCATAGGACCACTTTAAGCTGTACACTCCACAGAGCTGGGCTTTACGGAAGAGTGGCCAGAAAAAAAGCCATTGCTTAAAGAAAAAAATAAGCAAACACATTAGGTGTTCGCCAAAAGGCATGTGGGAGGCTCCCCAAACATATGGAAGGAGGTACTCTGGTCAGATGAGACTAAAATTGAGCTTTTTGGCCATCAAGGAAAACTCTATGTCTGGCGCAAACCCAACACCTCTCATCACCCTGAGAACACCGTCCCCACAGTGAAGCATGGTGGTGGCAGCATCATGCTGTGGGGATGTTTTTCATCGGCAGGGACTGGGAAACTGGTCAGAATTGAAGGAATGATGGATGGCGCTAAATACTGGGAAATTCTTGAGGGAAACCTGTTTCAGTCTTCCAAAGATTTGAGACTGGGACAGAGGTTTACCTTCCAGCAGGACAATGACCCTAAGCATACTGCTAAAGCAACACTCGAGTGGTTTAAGGGGAAACATTTATCTTGGAATGGCCTAGTCAAAGCCCAGACCTCAGTCCAATTGAGAATCTGTGGTATGACTTAAAGATTGCTGTCCACCAGCAGAGCCCATCCAACTTGAAGGAGCTGGAGCAGTTTTGCCTTGAATAATGGGCAAAAATCCCAGTGGCTTGATGTGCCAAGCTTATAGAGACGCTCAAGTTTTCTTTCTTTTTTTGTCTTATTTCTTGTTTGTTTCACAATAAAAAATATTTTGCATCTTAAAAGTGGTAGGCATGTTTTTTAAATCAAATGATACAACCCCCCCAAAAATCAATTTTAATTCCAGGTTGTAAGGCAATAATATAGGGGAAAATGCCAAGGGGGTGAATACTTTCGCAAGCCACTGTTTCCGTAAGATTGACTTTTTAGCATTCATAGCAATGGTTAGAAAATAGAGGTTGTGGTGGCCACTGCAGAGAAGTATTTGGGTGTATGAGATTTGATGTCTGAAGAGTTACAGGGTGTGTTGAGTGGTGCTGTCCAGTCCTTCCAGGCCGTTGGCCTGAGGTAGGACCAGATAGGTTTAAATAGTGCAATAGGGAGGTGGGTTATTAATGAGTGTAGGGTTAGATGGTAGGGTATTTGTTTATTTTATCCCTCACGCAAAGTAAAAGGGACTTATACCCCAGTCTAGTTGATGGCGGTAATGCAACATTTATTGGATGTCAATCGCCGTTAAACCTCACCGAAGAACAAGGGCGCAAAAGACAACTTCCTGGTTTGAAGCAGTGAGTGACATCTTTCGCGATAGAGGCAATTTCGTACGTTTTATTGACGACGGCCTTGTGTTGGAATGTAACATAATCGCTTTATCCATCAAGAGTGAAATAAATATTCGTCTGCCACTTTCGGAAAATATCACATTAGCGTACTTTCTCTGAAACGTTATAATGGTCCATGACAGGAGTGAGTAAGCTCATGGTAAGTCGAAGTAGCTAGCTAGCTAAAGGCAAGCTATGGTCTCCGCCTTGACTTGGTTTCGATGCAATAGTGAGCTAGAAAGCTAATGGTAGCCAGCTCACTACTGTAGTTAGCTTACATCTGTACAGTAAATAGTTAGCTAGTTACGGTTCCTTTCTTTATATATTAGCTATCTGGCTAACGTTATTAGCTAGCTTCTATGTCAGCTTGCTTGTTGTGTGCCTTTCTGGTCAGCATACCCCCTTAAAAAGTTGGCCTCTAGCGAGCTATCTCTTTAGCTCGATACTAGCCATCATCAATGCGCATCATGGTTGTTTATATATAACGAGCTTATCAAAAACCACACTAGGTTGGCTAGGTAGGTTAACTTACAGCTAGCTAGCCAGCCAGGTAACGTTAGCTAGCTAATGTAGTTGGTTGGCTACTTACTAGTACTTGGACGGTGAGTTATTTTGTTTAGGTTGGTGGTAGCTACCTTGGTTTTCAGTCTTAAGCAAAGTCTAAAGCCCTATGTCCAAAGAAACTAGCTAACTAGTTACCAGTTGACGTTGTAACATGATTGACCACAAATTATGAGTCAGACCAGCACTATCCACTGCAGAGTGATAACGGTAGGTAGCTAACGCTTTAGTCAGCTAGCTAGATGGCTTAAATGCTACTGTGTTGATGATGCTAACGCTTTGCTAGTTGAGCTAGCTACCACGTTAGTGTTCAGTATGAGCTAGCTAACGTTAGGTAACACTTGTCAACAGTGTCATGTTAATTAGCTAACGTTAGCTGTCTTGGATTACAGGTCCTTGTTTGGTGCAATGAGATGACTAAACAAACAACAGAGACATATCCATGCCATGCTTCTGTTACAGCCAAATCGGCTGTTGTGTGAATTGTCGGATGGGGTTCCTGACAGTTTTAGCCCGGCTAAACTATATTTTGCTGCCTTAGCGTAATGTCGGCCTGTCTGTCTTGTCTTTAGGGCCCATACTTGTGTTTAACATATGTGTTGCCTTCCTTTCGAATGTAATCGCAACGTCTGACTTGTGCTTCTATTTAAAGCACTAGTTTGGCGACTGAGACTTTTAATGCTGTCTGGTGTGTGGATGGGCTGATGGGTCACGATAATGATTGAAGACTGATGTAACCTTTCCATGATGACACTGACTGTGTGTGTGTGTGTGTGTAGGGGATGAGTGGAGCACAGGTGCAGCAGCAGCGTTCACGGCTGTGGGGTCAGTGACTCTCTCTGTGGGCTCACGATGGCGCAGGGATGTCCTCAGCTAGACTATCACATCCTGCAGGACCTCAAGCAGCGCTTCCCCGAGATACCAGAGGGAGTAGTGTCCCAGTGCCTTCTGCAGGTAGGATACAGCAGCCAGACAGCAATGAGCACATAGCCTGCGTCCCAAATGGCACCCTAGTGTGTTACTTTGGACCAGTACCATAGGGGCCCGGATCAATAGTAGTGTACTGCATAGGGAATTACATGCTGGCCATACCGCTCGCGTTGCAAAATACATTTACACATATTATGTTATTCAATCGTTTCATCTAAATTGCTTGCGAGCGTCTGCGTAGCCAGGGCGCTAAAATAGAACTTGGTTTTATTTGTGACGCTCGACGCGCTGCGAGGCCTGCCAATTCCCATCTCCTCATTGGTTTTTAGGAGCAAATACCCACGTGGGTGATCGAAAGATGAACTGAGGTCCACACTCCAGTCCAGTTGGTGGTGGTAATGCACCTTAAATTTGGTTGCCAACCGACATATAAAGTGTGAAGAAGAAGAAGAAGAAGACTACTGCAGGAGAGATTACTAGAAACTATTAGTTTCCCCTTTTATCTGTGGATTAAATGTCGGAGTAGAGAACACACGATTTTGTGTTACTCAAAATGGGCCAAAATTATACAAAGATCCAGAAAAAAAGGACCTTGTGCATTTCAGGTAAAATAACAACCCAATGCTTATATCCCAGGACAAATTAGCTAGCAACAGCATGTCCATGAATGTTTCATGTTTCGATGGCGCACGCTCGTACCGGTCTACACAACATGTAAGGGTGACATTTGGGACGCATAGATACACAACAGGCTACAAACATGCACACATTTTCTTGTTGAAGTGCTTGTATGCTGTTGCAGTGATCTAGGTATACACATAGCCTATTACACGTACAGTACCAGTCAAAAGTTTGGACACCTACTCATTCAAGGTTTTTCCTTTATTTTATATTACTATTTTCTACATTGTAGAATAATAGTGAAAACATCAAAACTATGAAATAACACACATGGAATCATGTAGTAACTAACATAGTGTTAAACAAATCTAAATATATTTGAGATTCTTCAAATAGCCACCCTTTGCCTTGATGACAGGTTTGCACACTCTTGGCATTCTCTCAACCAGCTTCACCTGGAATGCTTTTCCAACCGTCTTGAAGGAGTTCCCACATATGCTGAGCACTTGTTGGCTGCAATTGGGATGAGGTCGGGGGATTGTGGAGGCCAGGTCATCTGATGCAGCACTCCATCACTCTCCTTCTTGGTCAAATAGCCCTTACACAGCCTGGAGGTGTGTTGTGTCATTGTCCTTTTGAAAAACAAATGATAGACCCACTAAGCCCAAACCAGATGGGATGGCGTATCGCTGCAGAATGCTGTGGTAGCCATGCTGGTTAAGTGTGCCTTGAATTCTAAATAAATCACACAGTGTCACCAGCAAAGCACCCCCACACCATTACACCTCCTCCTCCATGCTTGACGGTGGAAAATACACATGTGGAGATCATCCGTCCACCCACACCGTGTCTCACAAAGACGGCGGTTGGAACCAAACATCTCAAATTTGGACATTTCCACCGGTCTAATGTTTATTGCTTGTGTTTCTTGGCCCAAGCAGGTCTATTTTTATTATTGGTGTCCTTTAGTAGTGGTTTCTTTCCAGCAATTCAACGATGAAGGCCTGATTCACACAGTCCCCTCTGAACAGTTGATGTTGAGATGTGTCTGTGACTTGAACTCTGTGCAGTGTTTATTTGGGCTGCAATTTCTGAGGTTGGTAACTCTAATGAACGTATCCTCTGCAGCAGAGGTAACTCTGGGTCTTTCATTCCTGTCGCGGTCCTCATGAGAGCCAGTTTAATCTTAGCGCTTGATGTTTTTTGCGACTGCACTTGAAGAAACTTTCAAAGTTCTTGAAATGTTCCATATTGACTGACCTTCATGTCTTAAAGTAACGATGGACTGTCGTTTCTCTTTGCTTATTTGAGCTGTTCTTGCCATAATATGGACTTGGTCTTTTACCAAATAGGGCTATCTTCTGTATACCTTGTCACAACACAACTGATTGGCTCAAACGCATTAAGAAGGAAAGAAATTCCACAAATTAACTTTTAAGAAGGCACACATGTTAATTGAAATGCATTCCAGGTGACTACCTCATGAAGCTGGTTGAGAGAATGCCAAGAGTGTGCAAAGCTGTCATCAAGGCAAATGGTGGCTATTTGAAGAATCTATTTTATTTGTTTAACACTATTTTGGTTACTACATGATTCCATATGTGTTATTTCATAGTTTTGATGTCTTCACTACTTACTTTACAATGTAAAAATAAAGAAAAACCCTTGAATGATTAGGTGTGACTGACTTTTGACTGGTAGTGTACATGAAGTTGAACATTGACGATTTAGTCGGGGTTAGTGACCCTCTGTTTTCTACAGTTAATAGACAGAGAGCAGTGACAGCTATAGAACTCCAGAACCCGTCTGGACTCCATCACTGAGCCTCTGTTCTGCTGTCTCCTCTCCTCCAGAACAACAACAACCTGGATATATGCTGCCACCTGCTGGCTCAGGAGAGTAACAGATACCTCTATGGGGAGTTCCACAGTCCGGAGGAGGTTCGCCTGAGCCGGAACCACATGCTTCACATCCAGTTGGGCTACCCCACCTCGGAGGCTGGCAAGCCCAACGGGGGTGGGCGCTCCCTGGTGCACAGCTCCAGCGACGGTCACATCGAGCCCCCGCGGGCTGGCTTCCCGGAACCCATCTCGGCCCCTGCCACCATGGCCCCCTCGCCGGGGTACAACCCCTTCTTCATGAACGACCATGGGGGGCACTCGGCCAGCACCCCAACCCCTCCTCCCATGCAGGGTATGTCCCCTACCTACTCCCCCGTTCCCCGCTACACCATGAACCCCATCACGGTCTCCCTCTCCCAGAACCTTCCCAACGCCCCCCAGGCCCTGCAGATCCCCGCCGGTCACTATGGCAACAGTGGCGGCAATGCCCTCTACCTCCGTCCCTCCCCCTCCCAGAGCCCCCAGCCCTCTCCTTGGCCTTCGCCCGGGCAGCCTGTGTATCAGCCCTCGCCCTACGCCACTCCCACCTACCAGTCCCCCTATAGCTCGCCCCAGCACCAGCCCCACCAAGTGCAACCCCTACAGCAGGTACAGCCCCAGCACCAACTCCAGCACCAACCCCAGCACCAGCAGACCCATGTCTTCCTTCCAATCAGCCCTCCCACCCTGGCCAGCATGCCCTACCACCAGCACCACCAACAGCAGCAGCCCATCTACCGGCCCTACCTGCCCAAGAGCTCCCTGAAGAACCAGATCGAGATCACCCTGGAGGGCCCACGGCCCCGCAGCAACTCCCCCGTCCACTGTCCCCCGAGCCAGACTCTCTACATGGCCACAAGTCCCTCCCCCAGCTCGCCCCAGCGGGGCCTTAGTGGCGGGGGCCCCGCCGCCTTCCACCCCGGGGTCTACCTGCACCAGGGCCCCACGCGGCCCAGACCTGCCTCCTCGCCCCAGCCGGGCAGCCATGCAGGCTACACCTTCAAGATCAAAGTGTCCCCAGGCCAGGCTCAGCAGAGGCCCCTCTCAGGCTCCCCTCCCGTGTCCTCCCCTCCTGAGTCTCTGCTCAACATGGTGGACCAGGGGGAGCACCATGCGCTGGCCCCGGCGCCCATCCTGCCCATCTCGGCTCTGCCCAGTAACATCGCCAGCCACATCGCTAACCGCATGCCCCGCCGGTCCAGCTCAGGCTCCGATGACTACGCTTACACCCAGGGTAGGCACGGCTTATGGATGGATAAGAGTGTGTGTGTGTGTGTATGTGTGCATTTGTGTGTTTACCCGTGTGCTTATTTGCTGTTTATACAATGGCTGTGTCTAATCCTAAATGCTTATTGGTTAAAACCACATTCCAGCTGGTGTCTATTCGACAAGGTACCACCGGCTAAATCTATGACGTTAAAATGCCTATGTTCCATCTGACTGCGCAATCCACTGTCTCATCAGCCCAGCCAGGCAATTTATAAACTTGATCTCCTCTATAAAAAGCATCTAGTCATTATCTCCCATTTCTTTTAGACTAACAGTTCGTTTTCAACAGCGGAGATTTGTATAAACCTTGCTGTCTGTCTCTTCGACATTTGCAGCGTTGTTTCAATATTCAAATTCGATCTATAGCTGTCCTATAGGAATGAACTTGTCGGGATGAGACAGACAGGTAGGTAGCTTTTCTCAGCCAGTGGAAACCATGAATCGGCATCATTTTTGTGCATATATACAAAGAACTATCAATAGAAAACAGGTAAACAGAAACGAAGTGCAGCTAGTTTGCAGTCTTTCCAGCTTCAGTTTGAAGTGATTGTGTTAGCTGTGTTGTTGGCTAGCTCTCGAACAACAGTGTCCTGACGAGAGAGCACATGTTCTATGCCAGGTGAAATCGCGTTTCATTATATATATATATATATATATATATATATATATATATATATATATATATATACACACAGTGGATATAAAAAGTCTACACACCAGTTAAAATGCCAGGTTTTTGTGATGTAAAAGAATAAGACAAAGATAAATCATGTCAGAACTTTTTCCACCTGTTAATGTGACCTATAACGTGAACAATTCATTTGAAAAACAAACTGAAAACTTTGAGAAAAAAACACAAAAAAACACAATTACCTGGTTGCATAAGTGTGCACACCCTTAAACTAATACTTTGTTGAAGCACCTTTTTGATTTTATTACAGCACTCAGCCTTTTTGGGTAGGAGTCTATTAGCATGGCACATCTTGACGTGGCAATATTTGCCCACTCTTCTTTGCAAAAGCGCTCCAGATCTGTCAGATTGCGAGGACATTTCCTATGCACAGCCCTCTTCAGATCACCCCAGAGATGTTCAATTGGATTCAGGTCTGGGCTCTGGCTGGGCCATACCTAAACGTTAATCTTCTTCTGGTGAAGCCATGCTTTTATGGATTTGGATGTGTGCTTTGGGTCATTGTCGTGCTGAAAGGTGAACTTCATCTTCAGCTCTCTAACGGACGCCTGAAGGTGTTGTGCCAAAATTGCCTGGTATTTGGAACTGTTCATAATTCCCTCCACCCTGACTAAAGCCCCAGTTCCAGCTGAAGAAAAACAGCCCCAAAGCATGATGCTGCCACCACCATGCTTCACTGTGGGTATGGTGTTCTTTGGGTGATGTGCAGTGTTGTTTTTGCGCCAAACATTAAAATTATGGCCAAAAGGTTCAACCTTGGTTTCATCAGACCATAACACATTTTCCCACGTGCTTTTGGGGGACTTTATGTTTGTTTTTGCAAACTTCAGCCGGCCTTGGATGTTTTTCTTTGTAAGAAAAGGCTTCCGTCTTGCCACCCTACCCCATAGCCCATTCAAATGAAGAATACGGGAGATTGTTGTCACATGTAGCACACAGCCAGTACTTGCCAGAAATTCCTGCAGTTCCTTTAATGTTGCTGTAGGCCTCTTGGAAGCCTCCCTGACCAGTTTTCTTCTCGTCTTTTCATATATTTTGGAGGGACGTCCAGTTCTTGGTAATGTCTCTGTTGTGCCATATTTTCTCCACTTGATGATGACTGTCTTCACTGTGTTCCATGGTATATGTAATGCTTTGGAAATTATTTTGTACCCTTCTCCTGACTGATATCTTTCAACAATGAGATCCCTCTGATGCCTTGGAAGCTCTCTGCGGACCATGGCTTTTGCTCTGAGATGCAACTAAGAAAATGTCAGGAAAATCCTACTTGAACAGCTTAACTTTATTTGTGATTTAATCAGTCACTTTAAATGATGGCAGGTGTGTAATGAATTCTATTTAACATGAGTTTGAATGTGATTGGTTAATTCTGAACACAGCCACATCACCAGTTATGAGGGTGTGCACACTTATGCAACCAGGTTTTTATTTTTCATTTTTCCGCCTCAGATTTCAGTTTGTTTTTCAATTGAATTGTTCACATTATAGGTCACATTAACAGTGGGAAAAGTTTTGACATGATTTATCTTTGTCTCATTCTTTTACATCACAAAAACCTGGCATTTTAACTGGTGTGTGTAGACTTTTTATATCCACTGTATGTATGTATATATATATATATATGTATTTTTATTTTAGTGTGTATGGTCAGTTTATGAATAGAAAAGGTGTGTAGAAATTAAATAAAGAATTCCTAATTAACTGACTTATCGGAAACAAATAACTTCTTGCACAATTGCCGGCTGTGTATCCATCTATCAGGTTGTTGTCCTCCTTGTCCACAATGACTCCAAGACGGGGATTTAATATGCGCAGCACCTGTTTCCACGATGGTGTATTTCACTCTTATAAACTTTGTTAAAATGTTTAATGTTACGTTAGCCATTTTCGTGTGAGCTAGGAGTCAGGGGAAATAAATGTGGCAACATATTGTCTCGTGGCGGAAGGGAACATAAGCTCTGTATGTGGACAAATATAGGAATGTTTCAGCACCACACAAAATAGCCTACTAATGGACAGTTTTCTGCTCCGCTCTCTCGTTGCGTGGCTGATAGCCTAGTGAAATCTGCAACACAACAAGCTCCTGGGTTTGTACAAAAAATATATTGATTTAAAACGTTTCCAACCTGCAATATAATTGTTCTGAACCGAGAGCTGACCCACCGGTTGAAAGAATGTTTTCATTCCACCTGACAGCTGATTTTTTTTGTTTGTTGTTGTTGCGGGGAACTGTGGGTATCCGACCCGATGCAGGAGGGTGTGTTCCTGTGTGTATGCATTTGGTGTGCTTGCTCGTTTGCATCTGTTCATCTGTGTACAGAATCATTCCTGCACATCCACCCATGTATTCCTTCATCCCATCCCAACCATCCCATCTGTTTGAAGCCCTGTGTTCCCTCCACTGTGTCCCCCAGCTCTCCTGCTGCACCAGAGGGCCCGGATGGAGCGTCTGCTGAAAGAGCTGCTCATGGAGAGGCAGAAGGTGGAGCAGCTGAAGGCAGACGTCAACGACATGGAGTACGACGCCCTCCAGAGACGCTTCAGACGAGTCAGCAGCACCAGCCTCATCCCCCGGGTAAGAGAGGGACGTACACACAGATGTGTAGGGACATAACATGGCACACACACACACACACACACACACACACACACACCTGTGAAGTGTAACTGCATAGACACACACACGGCGCACACACGGCGCACACACGGCGCACACACGGTGCCCACACGGCGCACACACGGTGCACACACACACTCATTAGCTACATACATACACTACCGGTCAAAAGTTTTGACACACCTACTCATTCAATGGTTTTTCTTTATTTTTACTATTTTTTACATTGTAGAATAATAGTGAAGACATCAAAACTATGAAATTACATACAGTTGAAGTCGGAAGTTTACATACACTTAGGTTGGAGTCATTTAAAACTCGTTTTTCAACCACCCCACAAATTTCTTGTTAACAAACTATAGTTTTGGCAAGTCGGTTAGGACATCTACTTTGTGCAAGACACAAGTAATATTTCCAACAATTGTTTACAGACAGATTATTTCACTTATAATTCATTGAATCACAATTCCAGTTGGTCAGAAGTTTATAGACGCTAAATTGACTGTGCCTTTAAACAGCATGGAAAATTCCAGAAAATTATGTCATGGCTTTAGAAGCTTCTGATGGGCTAATTGACATAATTTGAGTCAATTGGAGGTGTACCTGTGGATGTATTTCAAGGTCTACCTTCAAACACAGTGCCTCTTTGCTTGACATCATGGGAAAATCAAAAGAAATCAGCTAAGACCTCAGAAAAAAAATTGTAGACCTCCACAAGTCTGGTTCATCTTTGGGAGAAATGTCCAAATGCCTGAAGGTAATGTTCATCTGTACAAACAATAGTACGCAAGTATAAACACCATGCCAAGAGTGTGCAAAGCTGTCATCAAGGCAAAGGGTGGCTATTTGAAGAATCTCAAATATAAAATGTTTTTTGATTTGTTTAACACTTTTTTGGTTACTACATGATTCCATATGTGTTATTTCATAGTTGTGATGTCTTCACTATTATTCTACAATGTAGAAAATATTAAAAATAAAGAAAAACCCTTGAATGAGTAGGTGTGTCCCAACTTTTGACTGGTACTATACATACATACACTATATATACAGCAGTATGTGGATAAGTGTATAAAATCGAGCACACAGCCATGCAATCTCCGTAGACATTGGTAGTAGAATGGCCTTACTGAAGAGCTCAGTGACTTTCAACATGGCATCGTCATAGGATGCCACCTTTCCAACAAGTCAGTTCGTCAAATTTCCGCTACCTGCCCGAATGCATAGTGCCAACTGTAAAGTTTGGTAGAGGAGGAATAATGGTCTGGGGCTGTTTTTCATGGTTCGGGCTAGACCCCTTAGTTCCAATAAAGGGACATCTTAACGCTACAGCATACAATGACATTCTAGATTATTCTGTGCTTCCAACTTTGTGGCAACAGTTTGGGGAAGGCCCTTTCCTGTTTCAGCATGACAAAGCCCCCGTGCACAAAGCGAAGTCATTACAGAAATGGTTTGTCGAAATCAGTGTGGAAGAACGTGACTGGCCTGCACAGAGCCCTGACCTCAACTCCATCGAACACCTTTGGGATGAATTGGAAAGCTGACTGCGAGCCAGGCCTAATCGTTCACATCAGTGCCCGACCTCACTAATGGTCTTGTGGCTGAATGGAAGCAAGTCCCCGCAGCAATGTTCCAACATCTAGTGGAAAGCCTTCCCAGAGGAGTGGAGGCTGTTATAGCAGCAAAGGGGGGACCAACTCCATATTAATGCCCATGATTTTGGAATGAGATGTTCGACGAGCAGGTGTCCAAATACTTTTGGTCATGTAGTGTATGTACACTTAACAAAAATATTAACGCAACATGTAAAGTGTTGGTCCCATGTTTCATGAGCTGAAATAAAAGATCCCAGAGATTCTCCATACGCATAAAAAGCTAATTTCTCTCAAATGTTGTGCACAAATGTTTTATATCCCTGTAATGAGCATTTCTCCTTTGCCAAGATAATCCATCCATCTGACAGGTGTGACATATCAAGAAGCTGATTAAACAGCATGATCATTACACAGGTGCATCTTGTGCTTGGGACAATAAAATGTCCACTCCAAAATGTGCAGTTTTGTGTCACAACACAATTCCACACGTTTCAAGTTGAGGGAGCGTACAGTTGGCATGCTGACTGCAGGAATGTCAACCAGAGCTGTTGCCAGAGAACTGAATGTTCATTTCTCTACCATAAGCCACCTCCAACGTTGTTTTAGAGAATTTGGCAGTACGTCCAACCGGCCTCACAACCGCAGACCACGTGTTTGGTGTCGTGTGGACGAGCAGTTTGCTGATGTCAACGTTGTGAACAGAGTGCCCCATGGTTGCGGTGGGTTATGGTATGGGCAGGCCAAGTGGTGTAAACTTTTACTATTTATATTTTGTACAACTTTTAGTTCACTACATTCCTAAATAAAATTGTTATTTTTACTCTATATATTTTCCCTGACACCCAAAATAACTTGTTATATTTTGAATGCTTAACATGACAGGAAAACGCTGGTGGACTCACTAAACACATGCGTAGTTTGTAAATTATGTCTGAATGTTGTGTGCCCCTGGTTATCCATACATTTTAAAAACAAGAACATTATGCTGTCTGGTTTGCTTAATATAAGGAATTTGAAATAATTTATACTTTACTTTTACTTTTGATACTTAAATATATTTAAAACCAAATATTTTTAGACTTTTACTCAAGCAGTATTTTACTCTGTGACTTTTACTTGACTCATTTTCTATTAAGGTATCTTTACTTTTACTTTAGTATGAATATTGGCTACTTTTTCCACCACTGTGCAGGCATAACCAAGGACAACGAACACAATTGCATTTTATCAATGGCAATTTGAATGCACAGAGATATCGGGACGAGATCCTGAGGCCCATTGTCATGCCATTCATCCGCCGCCATCACCTCATGTTTCAGCATGATAATGCACAGCCCCGTATCGCAAGGATCTGTACACAGCTGCTGGAAGCTGAAAATGTGTCAGTTCTTCCATGGCCTGCATACTCACCAGACATGTCACCTGTTGAGCATGTTTGGGATGCTCTGGATCAACGTGTACGACAGCATTTTCCAGTTCCCGCCAATATCCAGCAAGTTCGCACAGCCATTGAAGAGGTGTGGGACAACATTCCACAGGCCACAATCAACAGCCTGATCAACTCTATGCGAAGGAGATGTGTCGCGCTGCTTGAGGCAAATGGTCACACCAGATACTGACTGGTTTTCTGATCCACAGCCTTTTTTCTTTACCATGACTATGCCCCCATAGTATGACAATGCCCCCATCCACAGGGCACGAGTGGTCACTGAATGGTTTGATGAGCATGAAAACAATGTAAGTCATATGCCATGGCCCTCTCAGTCACCAGATTTCAACCCAGTTTGAACACTTATGGGAGATTCTGGAACGGTACCTGAGACAGCGTTTTCCACCACCATCAACAAAACGCCAAATTGTGGAAGAATGGTGTCGCATCCCTCCAATAGAGTTTCAGACACTTGTAGAATCTATGCCAAGGTGAATTGCAGCTGTTCTGGCTCATGCTGGCCCAACGCCCTATAAGACACTTTATATGTTGGCGTTTCCTTTATTTGGGCAGTTACATGTATATGTGCATACAAACAGCTTTGATCTGATTCTTATAACACGTGGATCGGTATTTGTAAATAAATGCCGAGTATTAGATTTGGTAGGAAACCTTCTATTGTCTCTCTTTTTGTGTGTCATCTCTCATCCAATCCACTGGTGCCTGTTCCAGCCTGAAGAGATGACCCGACTGCGCAGTCTGAACAGACTGCTTCAGATTGATATTGACTGCACCCTGAAAGAGACTGATCTACTGCAGTCTAGAGGTACACACACACACAAACACTCTCACACACAAACAGGCTTTTGAAGATGCAGTGTACAGCAGCACCCATTCAGGTGTCAAACAACAGATGCTGTACTAATTGTGTCATTTCCACAGGGAAGTTTGATCCGAAAGCTGAGAACAACTTTTATAAGAACATACAGACCGGTCCGGTGATACCACCCAAGCCAGGAAGGAAAGGTGAGAACCATGATGTCCTCTATCGTACCACTGTAAACAGTGGTAACACTTTACTTAAAGAGGCAATCTGCAATTGACACATCAATTTTTTCAAATGTTCAATTATTGATAAATACCAAATTAATTATTGAAGAATATAACTAATATAAATACTTAATGAGCTCAGTTCAACAGTCATACCCCATCAGGACCCAAAATATAAGCCTGTTTTACTCCATTGTTTGTAAACAACGTAATTGTAAACAAACACTGCATAGCCTCAAAACATGGTTCAAACTAATGTTGATATCGTGGTGGTCAGTCCTTGCATGCATAGCCCTGTATATGAATTTGACAGTGGTTACATTTCTCCAGCCCCTTCCCTCAGCTTTTTACCAAAACAGTGGTGGGGTGTCCGCTTTTATTTTAAATGTAAAAAAAATTGGGGGGAGAGATCGAACTCAGTATCGAAACTGTGTAAATGATAATGGACCTACATTCATACAGTTTCTTAACTGTGTCCAGCTTGCTAATCATCACTGGAATGAAAGCTAGTCAGTCAGGGACTATCGAAAATTCTAAAAACGATGGAACTATCTTTTGCACATTTTGACAGCAAAGAAATATAACCAATTTTCAGTGCGGCCCTCCAGACCTCGTTAAAGACTGAATGCGGCCCTCCAGACCTCGTTAAAGACTGAATGCGGCCCTCCAGACCTCGTTAAAGACTGAATGCGGCCCTCCAGACCTCGTTAAAGACTGAATGCGGCCCCCGGGCAAAATGAGTTTGACACCCCTGCTTTATAATGTCGTAAAAGGCTTAATAAAATGTTGCTTGGCTTTGTATTCGACCTTGTTTCTTCTCAAATGATCTCTGATCACTTCCCTCAGTAGATGAAATGTGGTAAATATTCAATTGACCTTGGCTGTGGTTGACCAAAATGAATGTTGGCATGGAACGACTTGAGAAACCCAGCTATTTTGTCTCTGATTTACTTTTGTGTTGCGGAGCCTCCCTTTGTGTGGACAGTGTCCTAACTGTTTTTGAATGCATTTCCTTTTTTAGCAAGGTCTTTAAAATGGTGCTGTGTGTTTGTATGATGGGTGTCTGTGTGGTTTGCTATGAATGCCCATGGGATCCTTACTGGCCAGAGTCAGGCCCTCTGTTGTTGATGTCCCATTGGAAGGACTTCTATATTCCGTTGTGTTTGGTATTGTGATGATGCCAACAGGCCTGCTAGGTCGAACACTGAACTCACACCCGAGAACACTTGATAAAGTAGCTGGTTTTCTTCTCACGCTGGCAACAAGCTCTGCGTCCAGTGAAGCAACTAGAAATCTGCTGTTTTCCCGACGCCCCAGTTTGGCTCACCTATAAGAATATGTTGTAGTGTCTGTGTTTGGCAGTGTGATACTAAGACTGTATATGTGCTGTGTTTGTTGGTGTGATACTAAGACTGTATATGTGCTGTGTTTGTTGGTGTGATACTAAGACTGTATATGTGCTGTGTTTGTCGGTGTGATACTAAGACTGTATATGTGCTGTGTTTGGCAGTGTGATACTAAGACTGTATATGTGCTGTGTTTGGCAGTGTGATACTAAGACTGTATATGTGCTGTGTTTGTCGTGTGATACTAAGACTGTATATGTGCTGTGTTTGTCGGTGTGATACTAAGACTGTATATGTGCTGTGTTTGTCGGTGTGATACTAAGACTGTATATGTGCTGTGTCTGTCGGTGTGATACGGAGACTGTATATGTGCTGTGTTTGGCAGTGTGATACTAAGACTGTATATGTGCTGTGTTTGTCGGTGTGATACTAAGACTGTATATGTGCTGTGTTTGTTGGTGTGATACTAAACTGTATATGTGCTGTGTTTTGTCGGTGTGAACTAGACTGTATATGTGCTGTGTTTGGCAGTGTGATACTAGACTGGTATATGTGCTGTGGTTTGGCAGTGTGATACTAAGACTGGTATATGTGCTGTGTTTGGTCGTGTGATACTAAGACTGTATATGTGCTGTGTTTGTCGGTGTGATACGGAGACTGTATATGTGCTGTGTTTGGCAGTGTGATACTAAGACTGTATATGTGCTGTGTTTGTCGGTGTGATACTAAGACTGTATATGTGCTGTGTTTGTCGGTGTGATACTAAGACTGTATATGTGCTGTGTTTGTCGGTGTGATACTAAGACTGTATATGTGCTGTGTCTGTCGGTGTGATACGGAGACTGTATATGTGCTGTGTTTGTCGGTGTGATACTAAGACTGTATATGTGCTGTGTTTGTCGGTGTGATACTGAGACTGTATATGTGCTGTGTTTGTCGGTGTGATACGGAGACTGTATATGTGCTGTGTTTGCCGGTGTGATACTAAGACTGTATATGTGCTGTGTTTGTCGGTGTGATACGGAGACTGTATATGTGCTGTGTTTGTCGGTGTGATACTAAGACTGTATATGTGCTGTGTTTGTCGGTGTGATACTAAGACTGTATATGTGCTGTGTTTGTCGGTGTGATACTAAGACTGTATATATGCTGTGTTTGTCGGTGTGATACTAAGACTGTATATGTCTCTTTCTCCCAGAGGTGGAGCGGAACGCCAAGCCTGTAACTGTGGGGCCCCCTCAGAGAGACGAGGACTTTGAGGGAGGCCAGTGGAGCTGTGAAGAATGCACATTCCTCAACCACCCTGCACTCAACCGCTGTGAACAGTGCGAGATGCCACGCTACACCTGAACGTTGCCCAGCCTACTCCAGCCCTATCCCGGATAGTAGCCCCCCCCCCACTTCCTCAATCCCTGTAAACTCCTCCTCCAATTGGTTCCTGTCCCGCCCATGTCTTTGTGTGATGACCCTCCCCCCCCCTGCACTTTGGAGGAAAGCGGGAGACTGTTCCCATGGCAACCTAAAGCGGACAGTGGGTGTGGCTACAGAACAACCAATGGAGCATTGTTTTTAGAATACGCAGGAAGAGGAGGCATGGTTTACAGAGTGAACATTCCATTGCAGAATGAATGACTGCCCTGTTTACACGACTGAGCCCATTCCCAAACCCTGCGGACGGACGCAGGAGCTTCTTACAGTGGGACATTCCTCTGCAAATGGCCAGGGCTGCACTGCACTCTCTCTGACAGTGGGACAATGCAATGGCTAAAAGAAAGGGTTGGATGAACTTATCCTAATGTAGACTGTACACTGTATCGGCTCTGTGCCAAGAGATCCTTCTTTCATCCAATGAAGAACACTAAAGAGACTTGCATATGAATATATTCCTGGTACTTTTATGCATATTATGCCCACACAGTATTCCGTGTTAAATATGTTGATTTTCCTGTGCAAATGCCTCAAGTTGCTGTACTTTAATAAAGGAGCTGATTCTGTGACTTGCTTACACCTGGAATATATTTCCTGTCGTTTTTGTGTATTTGTAGTGGCATTTAGTTTAAAGGTCCAATACAGCCGTTTTTAGCTTAATATCAAATAATTTCCGGGTAACAATTAAGTACCTTACTGTGATTGTTTTTAAATTAAAATGGTCAAAAGAAACAAATAGCTTTTTAGCAAAGAGCAATTTCTTAAGCAAGAATTTTGTTAGGACTATCTAGGATTGGTCTGAGTGAAGTTTTGGTATTCTCTAGGTTTGGTATTCTCTATCTTATTGGTCTATTAAATAATTTACCGCCTGGTGATCCAAAACGCCATCCCACCCAAAAAAGCTTTTTTTTTTTTCAAATTGCTCTTACACTAACAGGGCACTATCATTTTCACAATTTCACAGTATTATTCCAACCTCAGTGTGGAAATGTATATAAAACACAGGAAAATCTAGTTTTTGACTGCACTGGGCCTTTAATGCACTACTGCTTGCTTTGACTGGGTTGTCTCTTAACGCAAATCAAACACGCACTTGTCTTTTTCATGACCAGTTTTATTGTATTAGTAAACAAAGCAGTAGGCATCAGACACAGCAGCAATCAAATGCATTTATAAAGCCCTTTTTACACCAGCAGATGTCACAAAGTGCTTATACAGAAATCCAGGCAAAAAGCCCAAACAGCAAGCGATGTAGAATCACTCTCTCAGCACACACCTCCCTTCTCCTTTAAGCTCCCACATTTCTACCTCAAGCGTTCCTACTCCATCTTCCTTTACATGTACTGTTTTTAATGTAAAGACTAACTTTCATTTTAAGTTGTTATGGATGAGACACTAGTTCAAAACATTTTCTATAATACTGCAGTATTAAGAGGCCTTCGTACATAAGATCTCTGCATCCCAAATGGCACCCTATTCCCTACATAGTGCACTACTTTTGATCAGGGCCCCTTGTCATTACTGCACTATATAGGGAATAGGGTGCCATTTGGGACACTTCAAGTGTGGACCAATAAGAGGCATCACATGGGAAGTGTGTGAGTGCACAGGAGGTTGGCAGCACCTTAATTGGGGAGGACGGGCTCGTGGTAACTGCTGGAGCGGAATAGGTGGAATCTATGGAATGGCGTCAAACATGGTTTGACGCCATTCCATTCACTCCGTTCCAGCCATTATGAGCCGTCCTCCCCTCAGCAGCCTCCACTGGCTGAGCGATCATATCACTTTCAGGCCCCACACACACTTCAACACTGGTCACTTGACTTCTTCACACACCTCATCTATTACACTGTATTAAAATATTTAACACACAAAACCACCTCAAACTACTGTACATGGTAACATAACTGCTGCTATCTGAAGCAGGCACAGCTGGGGTTCGGCCGCACGGTCTTAGATTATGCCTAACTGCTACGAAATGGTTGTGTGTGTGTGGCCTGTGCTAATGTTTAACCAGTAATACTTTGCCTGGAATGTATCGTGACCTCTGGCCTAACCAATTATACCATCCCTTGTTTGTGGCATTGGGGTGTGTACCCAAAGTCTATAGTGGCTTCCTCTCCTTGTCACCTTCCCTTCATATGCATTGATCTAGAGGAGCAGGATAGGTGAAAGTGAACCACTAGTTAAATTCCTCTATGCTGCCTACCTTAACCCATCCAGTCTTCTTTTATATTACCACAGATGAAAGGCAAAGATAATCACAAATATACTGAACAAAAATATAAACGCAACATGTAAAGTGTTGATCCCATGTTTCATGAGCTGAAATAAAAGATCCCAGAAATGTTTCATACACACAAAAAGCTTATTTCTCTCCAATTTTGTGCACAAATTTGTTTACTTCACTGTTAGTGAGCATTTCTCCTTTGCCAAGATAATCCATTCACATGACAGGTGTGGCATATCAAGAAGCTGATTAAACAGCATGATCATTACACAGGTGCACCTTGTGCTGGGGACAATAAAAGGCCACTCTAAAATGTGCAGGTTTGTCAAACAACACAATGCCACAGATGTCTCAAGTTTTGAGGGAGCGTGCAATTGGCATGCAGACTTCAGGAATGGCCACTAGAGCTGTTGCTAGATAATTTAATGTTAATTTCTCTACCGTAAGCCACCTCCAACGTCATTTTAGAGAATTTGGCAGTACGTCCAACCGGCCTCACAACCATGCCAGCCCAGGACTTCCACATCCGGCTTCTTCACCTGCGGGATTGTCTGAGAGCGGACAGCTGATGAAACTGAGGAGTATTTCTGTCTGTAATAAAGCCCTTTTGTGGGGAAAAACTCAATCTGATTGGCTGGGCCTGGCTCCACAGTGGGTGGGCCTGCCTCCCAAGTGGGTGGGCCTATGCCCTCCCAGGCCCACACATGGCTGCTCCCCTGCCCAGTCATGTGAAATCCATAGATTAAGGCCTAATTTATTTATTTAAGTTGAATGATTTCCTTATATGAACTGTAACTCAGTAAAATCCTTGAAATTGTTGCATGTTGCGTTTGTATTTTTGTTCAGTATATTACTGGGGGTGAAGGCATGCATCCTTAATTCCTTTCCTTAGGTGAGTCTCGTATTCCATAGCTTTCCTCCTCAAGATCGGTCTGTCCACCTGGACCATCCTTCTGCTCTCTGATTGGTCTGTGTCCATCACGCTCACCGGTCCCTTCTTTGATTGGTCAATTGGTCCTCCCTCTCGTCTCTGTATGGGGTCAGCTAATCCTCTCTGGTTTAATAATGACAAAGCATTGTGCCTTCCAACTCCTACCAGAGTTCTTATCATAAAGTGGACCTACTGTTGGCTTAGACTGGTGACATGGTTTCACTGATGTATATGATTGGTCATTAGGATTCCATTGAACTGTCTGATTGGCTCTTCAGCCTCACCACTTAGCCTATAGCAGACGTCAGTCACAACACAGGCAGAGATGCCCTTAGAGACCACAACATCATAATGGAAGTAAGAGTGTCCCTTTAAGCCTGTGGGCCAACCATCTGGTACAGTACAATATTATGAATGGAGCCTATAGACACTACTGTTGTTTACTCTCCAATCTTTTTGTGTGAATATTTATTTTCTCTACCAGTTATAGAAATATACTAAGTTCAGAGCATCGGCTGCTATCACAGTGAGTTTGGGGGGAACATGAAGTGTAGAGGGCTCTCTTCTCCTATTGCAGGGTTTAGTAGTAGTCTTCATAGTTCTTGGGGTTGAGGCAGTAGAGAATGGCCCCTCCGAAGGAGAAGATGGTGGCCCCCCAGGCGAGGCCGTAGCCCCAGTTAAACTCGTGGTATATCCTCAAGCTGACCGTCTCAATGAACTTAATGGGGTAGAGGACCAGACTGCAGACCTGAAGCACCACTGTTACAGAGTGAAGCAGAGAAAATAAATGAGGAACATGAAATGACAAGATAATAGAAAAATGAATATTCTTTAGTTATAACAGAACTGAGTGTGTGTGTGTGTGCTGTGTGTGTGTGTGTCTCTGTCTGTTTGAACACGTGTGTGTGTGTGCTATACTGTACCTGCAGCGAACAGCATGACAGCGACGGGTCTGTAGCAGTGGCTCCTGGAGCCGACACACACTGACACCAGGGCCACCAGGAAGGAGAACAGGATGAGGGCTGCACCACCCAACAACAGGACCAGCGTGGCAATCTGCCAGTCTACGAGAGAGAGAGAGAGAGAGAGGGGGGCACAGAGAGAGAGGGAGAAAGCGAGCGGGGGAAGAGAGAGTGAGGGGGGGAGAAGGGTAGAAAACCCTGCTCAGTTATGTGTTATGTATCTGTAATGAACACACTCTAGCACCTCTATTTGAAAGCGAGAGGGGGGGGGGCTTGGTCAAAGTAAGTCTGAACGCACTCCAGCACCTCCCTATTCTATTGACTGGTGAGAGAGAAAGGGAGAGGGAGAGAGAGAGAGAGGAGGGGGTGATCATGGTCTGTAACATAGCAATGCTAAGTCTCACAGACATGCCCAAGTACACAGCCACAGTGAAAAATGACACAGCCACCGACATGAAAGTCATACAGATGAAAAATGACATTCCACACACATCATCTGGTAACAGAAGGCTTCTTATTCCTCATGGGCATGGGAAGAGTATTCTCAGGATCTGACAGAGGTTTGCCAGGAAAATCTTTTCATGGGGGTTATTAGCCTAGTGATCCATGTCAACAGCGTGGTGTATGGTCCAAGAATGTTAACCCTGCACTAAAATCACATCTGTACCCAACACAGCAATGGACGAAAACTAACTCTCTCTCTCTCAATTCAATTTAAGGGCTTTATTGGCATGGGAAACATATGTTTACATTGACAAAGCAAGTGGAATAGATAAATCAAAACAATAGAAAATTAACAGTAAACATTACACTCAGAAAAGTTCCAAAATAATAAAAGACATTTCAAATGTCATAGTATGTATATATACAGTGTTATAAGGATGTGCAAATAGTTACAAAAAGGAAAATTAATAAACATAAATATAGGTTGTATTTACAATGGTGTTTGTTCTTCACTGGTTGCCCTTTTCTTGTGGCAAAAGGTCACACATCTTGCTGCTGTGATTGCACACTGTGGTATTTCACCCAATAGATATGGGCAATGGTATCTAGATGGAATTGGTATTTGTGATCCTTTTTTGGAACACCATTATTTTTCTCTTATTGAGATTGACTGTCAGGGCCCAGGTCTGACATCTGAATATCTAGGTGCTGCTGTAGGCCCTCCTGGTTGGGGACAGAAGCACCAGATCATCAGCAAACAGTAGAAATTAATTGTATTTCTTCCCCCCCCTCCTCCTCCTCCTCCTCCTCCTCCTCCCCCCCCCCCCCCCCCCCTCCTCCCCCCCCCCCCCCCCCCCCCTCCTCCTCCGGGTGACTGGATAATAGATGTCCCTCCTGCCTGCCCAATGCCAAGTCAGCAGCAGTCTCAGCGTTTCAAGTAGTACTCCAAAACACTCATCTAAAGTGGAGACTAGAAATAGCACTCTATCCTCGCTAGAATGCTAACCGGGATAGGAGAGGGGGGGCTAGAGACACAGGGGGCTTGGGGAGAGATAGAGGGGAGAAACTTCTAGACTACTATATCCAGCCACTTCATGTATGGATATAGTAGAATTTAATGGGCAGTATGTTGCAGACAAAGCTGAGATAGAATGTGCTCCTATGGGTTAAGTTTCCCCTAGTTACAGATCTAGAATCAGCTTCCCTCTCCCAATCCTAACCTTAACCATTAGTGTGGCAACTTCACCCTCCACCATAGAATATTTACAAGCTTTAGTCTTAGCGGCGGCAGGCAGCCTAGTGGATAAGAGCATTGGGGTCAGTAACTGAAAGGTTGCAGGTTTTCAAGTCCCTGAGCTGACTAGATGAAAAATCTGTTGATGTGCCCTTGAGCAAGGCACTTAACTCTAATTGCTCCTGTAAGTCTCTCTGGTTAAGAGTGCCTGCTAAGTGACTAAATGTAAATCTAGTCTCGCATAGCTAGCTGCTAGACACTTTTATCTAACTGGCTGTATGGGGAGGTGTACTGGCTTCTAGTCACGTCCACTGTATGGACTGCTGAGTGATAGAGATGTTTTATTGTTAGGAGTAACAGTCTAGACTTGTTAATCAACAATCTGTGGGCTGGGTGGGGTTATGGTATATGTAAACAGACAAGGGATGTTATGATGAGGTTGATTGCCATTATGCCTTTTGTAAGGTAAAGTAAATACTTGGTTTTTAATTATAAAAGGTGTGTGTGTGCGTGTGTGTTAAAAAAAAGCTTGAATAGTTGTACATATTAATGAAAAAGGCCAATTTAAAATGTATAATATTCATTACAATCACAGCTAAGTGGCTAAAAACTTCATGGCAAACCCTTTCCCTCTATGGCAAGGCAGACGGAATGATCAAACCCTTTCCCTCTATGGCAAGGCAGACGGAATGATCAAACCCTTTCCCTCTATGGCAAGGCAGACGGAATGATCAAACCCTTTCCCTCTATGGCAAGGCAGACGGAATGATCAAACCCTTTCCCTCTATGGCAAGGCAGACGGAATGATCAAACCCTTTCCCTCTATGGCAAGGCAGACGGAATGATCAAACCCTTTCCCTCTATGGCAAGGCAGACGGAATGATCAAACCCTTTCCCTCTATGGCAAGGCAGACGGAATGATCAAACCATTCGACAATGAGGGAAAGTGACAGTGTGTAAGCTGCTTAAACTACAGTTCCCACTCTTGTCGGGGGGAACTTCATTCCACAGGCCGAGCTGCTCGAACATAAACAAACATTCCCTTTTTGGACCAAATATTGCTTCTACGATTTAGAGTTTTAAATGGTCCTGTCATCACAGGAAGCCTCTCATTTGCAGCAACCTCATTGGCTGCCACTCCAACCGTGGGAGCTTCACTAACTTCTGTTTGTCTGTATCTACACTGAACAAAAATATAAACGCAACATGCAACAAGTTCAAAGATTTTACTGAATTACAGTTCATATGAGGAAATCCGCCAATTGAAATAAATTCATTGGGCCCTAATCTATGAATTTCACATGACTGGAAATACATATATGCATCTGTTGGTCACAGATACCTTTTAAAAAAAGGTAGGGGTGTGGATCAGAAAACCAGTCAGTATCTGCTGTGACCACAATTTGCCTCATGCAGCGCGACACATCGCCTTCACATAAAGTTGATCAGGATGTTTATTGTGGCCTGTGGAATGTTTTCCCACTCCTCTTTAATGGCTGTGAGAAGTTGCTGGATATTGTCAGGAACTGGAACACGCTGTTGTACACGTCGATCCAGAGCATCCCAAACATGCTCAATGGGTGACATGTCTGGTGAGTATGCAGGCCATGGAAGAACTGGGACATTTTCAGCTTCCAGGAACTGTGTACAGATCCTTGCGACATGGTGCTGTGCATTATCATGCTGAAACATGAGGTGATGGCGGCAGATGAATGGCATGACAATGGGCCTCAGGATCTCGTCACGGTATCTCTGTGCATTCAAATTGCCATCAATAAAATGCAATTGTGTTCGTTGTCTGTAGATTATGCCTGCCCATACCATAACCCCACCACCACCATGGGGAACTCTGTTCACAACGTTGACATCAGCAAACCGTTCGCCCACACGACGCCATACAAGTTGTCTGCCATCTGCCCGGTACAGTTGAAACTGGGATTCATCCGCGAAGAGCACACTTCTCCAGCGAGCCAGTGGCCATCGAAGGTGAGCATTTGCCCACTGAAGTCAGTTTCAACGCCGAACTGCAGCCAGGTCAAGACACTGGTGAGGACGACGAGCACGCAGATGAGCTTCCTTGAGAATGTTTCTGACAATTTGTGCAGAAGTTTCATCAGCTGTCCGGGTGGCTGGTCTCAGACAATCCCGCAGGTGAAGAAGCTGGATGTGGAGGTCCTGGGCTGGCGTGGTTACACATGGTCTTCGGTTGTGAGGCTGGTTGCACTTACTGCCAAATTCTCTAAAACAACATTGGAGGCGGCTTATGGTAGAGAAATGAACATTCAATTATCTGGCAACAGCTCTGGTGGACATTCCTGTTGTCGGCATGCCAATTGCACGCTCCCTCAAAGCTGTGTTGTGTAACAAAACTGCACATTTTTAGAGTGGCCTTTTATTGTCCCCAGCACAAGGTGTACCTGTGTAATGATCATGCTGTTTAATCAGCTTCTTGATATGCCACACCTGTCAGGTGGATGGATTATCTTGGCAAAGGTGAAATGCTCATTAACAGGGATGTAAACATATTTGAGAGAAATAAGCTTTTTGTGGGTATGAAAAACAATTCTGGGTTCTTTTATTTCAGCTCATGAAAATGGGACCAACACTTTATATGTTGCGTTTATATTTTTCTTCAGTGTAATTCAAAAGATTGTCATTCCAGTCATCTTCTAGTCATCTTGGTATTTTTCACCCTATCAGACCGCAACTCCCTAGTCAAAATATCCTATAGGATTAGTGATTTTTCCAATTGAATTTTGTGTCACCTCTATCAGAATCCTATTGGACTACTTTTTTTCTTTTGGAAATCAAAAGTAATCTGATTGGATCCTGTAGGTTTTTGCTAAATCTTGTAGGATTGTGTCACCCCAATCAGAATCCTATTAGAACTTTTTTTCTTAATTTAACCCAATATATTATATTTTGTTGTCATAAGTTCCAGTACAATACAACAACATTAATTAGAACATTTCCATTGATCGGAAACAACAGTTTTAAGGTATATTCATTTCTGTTTTATTCACCTTTAAGAAAGCCTGTCCCTTTAAGAGTGACTGATGATGTCACAGCTAGCACAGGCTTGCAGTGTTAATTAAGTACCAAGTTCAGCTCGCCACCTGTGGCTGTGCAAAGAATCTCCAGTTTCCTAACCTTATTATTCTAACTGTTTTATCCTTCATTGTGTGTGAATGCAAGAACTGTGAGTAACTTTACAGTATTTGTTTCCTTATGTTTCCTGACGAAGTTGTCAATGTTTTAGTCATATTTTGTCAATGTGTAGCATTTTATGCACTAGTTTTTATGGTAGCTAAGAAACTACTGTTAGCCACATTTTGCCTGTAAGCTGACAGTCCCCGAAATCAGGCACTAGAATTACTTAAAAATATATGTATATGTTTACATGACTTATTTAATTGATTTCC